GCTCCGCCGGCAGCCAGCTGTGCCTGAGTGACCGAGCCCCAGGCCGAGAGGCTGGGAGTACCCCACCTCCGAAGTGGCCCGAGCGAGCCCCAGGCTCCAGGCCCCGATAAGCAGCCGCCAAGGAGTGAGGCGGTTTCTAAAGTTTTATGGCTGAGTTCAATAACATCAGCTTTATCTGAATAAAGAAGCAGGACATTAGAGGTCATCCAGGTCTTTATGTCTTCAAAACATTACATTACCTTTACAAATTTGTGTTGTCTGGCTTTGCAGATACATATAATTGTGCGTCATCTGCTGTGATATACAGCGCAGTGAAAATCTATGCCATATAATGTATAACATACACAGTAAAATACATTTAATAGATGAGGTGAATTGAATGGGTTTGAGCACATGGTTCCTGTGGTGCTTCATGACTAACGTTTTTATGTGAGGAAGACTAACAAGTGTTGTGCTGCTCTCTCTGTGCCCCGTCATGTGATATTTTCTACTTGATAAGGTTTCTTAAAATGTTTGTTCACAGTCAACTTTGACCTTTGGTACTATGAAAGTAGGTCAAACGGTTAGGCAACCCAGGCACTCCTCAAAAGTTCATGTATGAAAAATGACTGTAAAGAAACAGATGGAGGGAGGAGAAGAAAACAGAATGATGAGAGGGTGTAAATTACCTTTGAGTATTACTGATGCCAGAAAGATGACGAGCACTGTGTGAGCACTGAACAGAAGCAGATGGGCAACTGTCAGGTTGTCCACTTTGTCCAGTTTGACTCCTGTGAAAAAGATTTGACATTTCTGAACTGAATATTAACTTTTTTTTATAGAGATTTGACCACCTCCCTTAAGAGAATAACTTGTCTCCCATTGGATCACGTGAACACACCATTTCCTCTCCAGCTTACAAGGTATCTGCTCGTCACAGTGCTGTGACATACTTGTGGTTTGTTTCTACACCGTAGCCACAACCAGCAACCATTTTTATTTCTATAGCACATTTAAGAAGGACAGTTTCTAACAAAGTGCTTCACAAAAAAAAAAATAATAAAACAGTTACATAGCACAAATGCAGACCGAACTAATTTCCTTCAAAGGCTAGTTGGAACATGAACAGCCTAATTGTGTGTCTGAGCTGCAGTGGAGGCTGAAAGTCACTGCAGTGGCTCCACTGAATAAAGAAACAGCTTCTTTCAGAGAGGAACACCAACCTGCCTCTGCCTCCACCTGCAGGCTGTGCGGCTCAGAGAGAGTCTTCATGTTGGTCTTCAGAGCACAGGTGTAGTTCCCAGAATCCTCTGCAGTCAGAGAGCTCAGCTGGAGGGAGGAGCCTGTTTCTGACAGGATGCAGCCATCTTTGAACCAGGTGACCTCCAGGTGATGAAAAGTGCAGACTGAAGCACAGAGCAGTGTGACGGTTTCTTTTTTTCTGAACTTGTTATCATCACTGGAGCTGATTATTCCCATCTGAATCCCATCTAAAATGAGAAAATAGATCAGTTTGACTTAAAGACACATTAATGATGAATATTAGTCTTAGACTGAGGAGATTGTTGTCACCAGTAACTCTGACAGTCACTCCTGTGCCGTTAGTAAAATGTCCCCCACGATGATTAACTCCCATCCTGAAGCGAAAGCTTGCGTGGTCTCCCTGCTGAACATCTCTGATCTGTAAAGTGCAGTTTGTCTCCATGTCTCCCAGATATTGATAACGAGGATCGTTGTTTGTTGAATCACTGTCGTACACAGATGGTTTGGTGAGCTGATAGAGCTGATAGCGGTGGCTCTGATACCAGAGGACTCTGACGATCTTTAGTGGAACTTCTCTTCCTCTCTGATCGACAGACTTAGGTGGTGTGAAGGTGCAGGGGAGGGTGACAGTGGATCCTCTGACAGCACAGGTAGACGTGAAAGGAAAGATCACAGTTTGACCCACAGCACCTAAAGAAGAGCAAACACAGAGCTGAGATTCAAACACAGTGACTCAGCCTGGAAAAAGAATAAAGCTGGAAAAATGCTGCTAAATAGCAGAGCTCTGTTTGTTGGTGGCAGGATGTGTTCTGTGTTCACTTCCTGCCACTTGATTTAATTTAGTACCACACACAACCATGAGACAGGGTGCAGATGATACATTTCCCACACTGCAGAACTGTGGTAGTAGCACTGTCACCTCACAGCAAGAAGGTTATTGGTTTGAATCCCATCCTTTCTGTGTGTTTTCATGTTCTTCCTTATCTCTTTGGGTTCTCTCTGGGTACTCCAGACTGCTGACAGGTGGGTTAATTGACTGCAGGTGTGAATACGAGCGTGAATGCCTCTCTGTGTGTTTTCACGGACTCTGGACACCTGTGTACTGTCTCACCTCCACCCCTCTGCAAACCTGAACTGGATAAGTGAAAGAATCTGTATAGGTGGATATCTTTGCACCAGTTAGCTGATGGTCGAAGGACAATGAGGCAAGCATGTCACTCTAAGAGTTATTGTTCCTCCAAGCTGACTGTAAATGTGAATATTTCTTTTAAAAATCAGTTTGTGAGGACCTGCTTGTTGACTCAACAATGTTCAGTTAATTGCAGCTTAAACATCCTTCACTGTGCTGCACACATGCAAATGAGGAGTGTGCTTGTTAAAGTGGACAAGAACCAGCAGGGGGCTAGTAAACAGTACAGGACAGTAAACCAGCTTTAATCAGTTTAACATCACACAGCTGTTTGACAGAGGAAAAAGGAAACTGATCACACCAACCTGCCTCTCCCGTCACCTGCAGGCTGTGCGGCTCAGAGAGAGTCTCCATGTTGGCCTTCAGAGCACAGGTGTAGTTCCCAGAATCCTCTGCAGTCAGGAAGTCGAGCTCAAGAGAGGGGCCAGTGTCTGAGAGGGCGTGGCCATCTTTGAACCAGGTGACCTCCAGTTGGTGGAAAGTGCAGACTGAAGCACAGAGCAGTGTGACGGTTTCACCTCTGCTCAACTTTTTATCATCACTGGAGCTGATTATTCTCATTTTGGTCGAATCTAAAAGGAGAATAACAAACTTCAGTGTGGGACTGTAAACTGTGTGACAACATTTCTGTAGCATTCTTGTTTGAAGACAAATTAAAAAGGATAAAACAAACCGGAAATGGCCTGAAATCTGTAAATCCAAAACAAATCAATAGATTTATAGATTTCATGGAGGAGACTTGTGTCGGTCTAATACTAAAACCATGTGTTAAGACTCATGTGCTGTCCATGGTGCTGAATTCATAACAGTTTCATTAATTTAATACAGGATGTATCAGAATTGATCATTTGATTTCAGAAGAATATGAAGTTTTACATCCAGTCCGATTGTGTCCCCCTCTGGACCAGTGTTGTGTATGACCACGTTACATTTTTCAGTAATTCACTAATTTCAGTAACTACATTACAGTTACAATCATGTTGTTACTCGCATTACAACAGTTCTTCAGTTATCTGCGTGCCAGGCTGCGGTGTACTGCTAACACAACTTTGGCTCTTTGCAAGCATCTGCACAGATGCCATGTTAACGCAACGCTAGACAAGAATTCAGAGGCCGTTTCTCAGTAGGCGTGCTCATGTTTACTCGTCTTATTGTGGACTTGTGGCTCTATTGAGGGCACATCCGTGATGAAGTTGGGTGAACTTGGTGCAGCTAAGTATCCCAGAATGCATTTTGTCTGAAACCCAAAAAGCAGCAATGGCAGATGAGAGCGGCTAAAACTATATACTATGTATATATTGTGTCAAATATGCTTATTTGACACAATATATACATATGTTACTCTCAAATATCTCACCAATTTATCAAAACACTGCTTATTTGCAAAATTGCTCCAACATTTTCAGAGATGTTTGTTCCTGCTGGTCTCGCGGCCCAGATGTCCCAGCAGTTGTCTGTCAAGCAGGAAGTCGAGGCTCGCGAGAGCGTTTCACTCCCAGCACGTAGTTTTCAAACCCCGCGCTGACTTTCACCACTCAGTGAAAGTTAAAGATGATATAAGTCACTTAGATGATTTCCAGCTGTTATTGTTTGCGTTATTTGTTCCTGAGCAAGTTTATCTGAGATCAAAGTTAAGATGAGACTTTATTATTTTAACAGATTATTCTGAATTTCAACTAATATGAAAATATTTAATCCAGGAGGAAATCCGAGCCTTTTGAGCGGGAGCAGAAACATCTTAAATATGATGCTGATGCTGTATGTGGAGATCCGTAAGACTGCTTCAGAAACAATCAAATTATGTTTTTACTATTTATTCAACTTTATTCTAAACACCAGCCATCTGTTGTAAGTTTGAGGAGTCTAAAATCACTCTAACATCTGACATGTGAGCTGTGCACACATGTATGATCACCCACGACTGCAGACCTGCCGATGGTGCCAACATCATCATTAAGTGTGCAGACGACACCACGGTGATTGAGGCCGCCTACAGGGAGGAGGTGGATCGTCTGGCTGAGTGGTGCGACAGAAACAACCTGCTGCTCAACAC